TGATAAATATATCTCCAAACACACCAACTGTAGTGGAGAGAGAGAGAGAGAGAGAGAGGGAAGAGAAATGCATTTTATTTCTTGAATGAGTCCCCGGAGGACACGTTATATGCAATGACGAAAATGGTAGGGATTTCTCAGAGCCACCACTTTTAGGTGCATCCTCTATACCAAAGTCTCTATAGCCGCGGCACTGGTATTAAGAAATGGCATCGTATAGAGTAAAAGAAGATATCGGACTCACATATAAAATATAAGCCGTAATTTAAACATAGGATTTAGAGTTAAAAAATGCCATTTTTATCTATGCATAAGACTTAATCGTAAAGCTTTTAATAAATTGTTGTTCAGATGTTTGTCATTATTTTTTATGGCAAATATTTAATTCCGTTTATTTATGTCCAAAATATTTATATTAAACATCTCGTAATATATTAAATCGATTAAAATAACACAAAAATATATTTTGCGTTTGATTTATTATTTACAATACAGAAGGTTATGGCACACTATAAAAGTTAACATAAATTTATTTAATATTCAAATATAAAATTATATTAAATGTATAGAAAATACTAAATAATAATATGTAAATATAATAACATATAAAATGCAATTGTATTAAGCTATGATATAATATAATTTAAACACTGGATAAGTTTAATGGTGACATAAAAATCTATATGAATGAGTAAAAAAACTAATTTTAATTCAATAAAAGTGCTTTTTATAAAAGTGTCTTAAGTTTCAATATTTAGTTTGAAAACAAATATTTGTCCGAAAAATGAAATATAAGACGACTTAAACACAATTGTAGCGTACATTTGAGAGAATATTCTTAAGATTTTCAATAATACTTACTTCAGTTGTCTTATTGAGTTGACTGTAAAGGATAGCCAACTGATGGTATGCGTCCCTATGACTGCTATTCGTATTGATCACTGAATATAGCATTTGTTCCGCACGACTGAAATTCTTCTGTTGTATCAGTAGTTGTGCCTAAAGTTTGCGAAGAATATGGAGAAGCGATTAGAAGAATGTGAATGACATGTATAGACAACACAGTTATGTTAATTGTCTTCTCATCACTATTTCAATCTTTATGTCACTTATTGTCTGCTCTTATGTACAGAATTGTTGTCATAGAATTTGCAAACATTTTACAATAATATGAGTACCGGTATAAACTTTCAATACTGTATAAACTGAATAAATCTAATTTATTTTGCTTTTGCCAGACATAACACTATCAGTCCTTAACTCTCGAATACAATGCAATTCATATGAAATGCACGAAAATAAATGAAACATTTTTTGTTGCTTTTATTTTCAGCGAAATTAAATTCAAAACAATTTTCTATTTTAAAAAACTTTAAATAAAAGAATGTTTTTCGGAGAGACAGTAATAATGAGAAGGAAATTGAAATAAAAAATCTTTAATACAGTTAATCACATGAATATTCTATGCGTTTGACTCAATAGTATTTTATATATTACTTAATGTAATATAATTTATTGAATATTCTATTGTTGTGTCTCTTTATAGTAAACTTTCATTTGTTTTTCGTTATATTAGTGTTGGATATGCCGTCTGAGTGCCGGTGCTCTGCAACTCATGTTTTTCCTTCCGAATGCAATAATAAAAAGAAAAGCAAAAAATCTGAACCAATAATACAAAAACGTAACTTTCAATGAAATAAAACGTATTTTCAATGATTGTTGTTTTTTGAAACTTCTCTCTCTCTCTCCCTCTCTCCCTCTCTCCCTCTCTCTCTCCCTCTCTCTCTCTCTCTCTCTCTATCATCCATCCATTCATTCTCTACAAAAAACAACTCATAGAGATATCACAGTATAGTAGACAATCTTAGAGGACTGGTATATAAGGAATTATATTTGGAAATAAGTCATAACACAAATTGTGTGCTCAAAGTGAGAGAGATATAGAGAATATTCTGTATATACTGTGGAGTAGAAGCGGTTATTAAGAATTGAGTGAAGCTTTTCACATATGAAATGCAATTCCCCTTTTGGCCACACATAGCAAACAGCCAGTCCTTTGGCATTCATTTCATTTCTGTAGATCTCTTACTCGCAATCATAGCTACCATTCTCTCACTGTTTATATATTGTGTTATTCATCTCTACTTTAGGTCCCAATTGAATGACACACTCCTTCCCTCCCGAACTCACTCTCCCCTCCGCTATCTTATCGATCCAAACGAGTGTCAAACCATTCAAACGTCTAATAGAGTGCAATGGATAAGGAAAATGAGACAAACCTTTCGTCAAACTAATAGCTAAATAAGGGTTAGATTTTTGCTATTACTTATATGATAGGTGAGGCTAATGTCAATTGAATGTCGATTTATATTATCGATTTCTAATAATAGCATACTATTGATAAACCTTGTATAATATCATGAACTTTAAATGTAAATAATATGAAATCTAATAACAATTTATTCATTAAGAAAAGGCATTCAATTCAAGTTTGCGATGAATTACTAATGAATTTTCAATTATAAAACAAAGCACTCGTTGTTTGTAGTAATTACGGGATAAGTATTGCCAAATAGGTGTTCACTAATTAATTCAAGTCTTAAATAGCATTTCAAATATAGGGTTCATTTAATATTTATTGTTATAATTATGCATTCAGTAGATTAGGTGTGTAAACCAATCTCTCTCTCTCTCTCTCTCTCTCTCTCTCTCACACACACACACACACACACACTCACTCACTCACTCACTCACCATACATACCCTTATATATGTTATATATAACTATAAAATAAATTTCTAAGTCTTTATAACTTAAATACAAAAGGTATTTGTTTCCAATGACGCAAAACACCGTTTTTATGGCTTAACTGATACTGATATCAACAGCCATAACCTATTCATTCCCATTCCTAAACATTAATACAAATACTGTATAATAAATATATCTCTGTAACGGTTTCTGGGAAAAAAGAAATTATTTTTATACTTTTAATATCATCTCTATTTGTGTGTGAAATCTCCATATTTACCATATTTTTCATTACAAACCCATCGCTCGCATCAAATCATATAATATTAAAATATAGCAAAAAAAAGTAATTTTAAACTTTGCTTTGAATTCTGTGTGCATTCGCTCATAAAATGCTTAATATATTAGAGATATATTTAGGACTCATATATGAATATATAATTTGTGGCCATATATTAGACTTCAAATCTGATTATATGTTTGTTGTTTGACTTATAGGTGACGAATCGGACGACGACGAGGACGTAGACGAGGCGGACGACGACGAAGACAAAGAAGAGACCGCAGCCGTCAAAATACAATCGCAATACCGGGGCTATAAGACCAGGAAAAACTACAAAAACAAGATTAATAATAACAATATGAAGGCCGAGGAGGTAGGCAACCAATTGGTGCTATAATTGTGTCCAATTAATATCTGTACCGCAAATAATTTATTATTAATTAAATTATGTTTTTGATAGCAATCGTAATGATATTAATAGCAATAAGTTTAACAAGTTTCAGATTATTTTAGTTATAAATTATACTAGTATACTTTTATATGAGCTAATTTAGAAATGTTTATAAAAATAAAATAGATAATCCAAAATCTTTTATATAAAATCTAATGAAATGAAATGAAATCTAATATAACTTCATATACAGACCTAAAAGCTCATACATTGAGTTTAATAGTCCCGGATATAGCTGTGTATTAAACAAATAAAATCGCAATCTCTTAGATACCTGTCTCAGCTTATTATAAAAAATTAATTGAGACTTCTGTGTGTTTGCCTGTTTTCAAAACAACTCTTTTAGATTTTTATATTATTATAAATAAATAAAATCACAAAAAACTCCTATTTCTCTCAAAAGGCTTACCCTCTCCAGAAGCCTTTTCAAACAGAATATTCTGTAACCCTATTATAAATTTAGTACATTTACTATAACATAAAGACTATCTTTATTTAAAACCGGATTTTACTGAAACCTTAAAAACATATTCTCTAGTAAACTAACTTGTAAGCTAACATATCATGTGTCATATGGTGACCAGGGTACGAATGAGACGGACGAGCACAAGGCCGCGACCAATTTAGTTATAAATTATACTAGTATACTTTTATATGAGCTAATTTAGAAATGTTTATAAAAATAAAATAGATAATCCAAAATCTTTTATATAAAATCTAATGAAATGAAATGAAATCTAATATAACTTTATATAGACCTAAAAGCTTATACATTGAGTTTAATAGTCCCGGATATAGCTGTGTATTAAACAAATAAAATCGCAATCTCTTAGATACCTGTCTCAGCTTATTATAAAAAATTAATTGAAACTTTCGTGTGTTTGCCTGTTTTCAAAACAACTCCTTTAGATTTTTATATTATTATAAATAAATAAAATCACAAAAAAACTCCTATTTCTCTCAAAAGGCTTACCCTCTCCAGAAGCCTTTTCAAACAGAATATTCTGTAACCCTATTATAAATTTAGTACATTTACTATAACATAAAGACTATCTTTATTTTAAAACCGGATTTTACTGAAACCTTAAAAACATATTCTCTAGTAAACTAACTTGTAAGCTAACATATCATGTGTCATATGGTGACCAGGGTACGAATGAGACGGACGAGCACAAGGCCGCGACCA